AAAGGTATTAATCTACAAAGTACAAAAACAGAAACGGGGAAATACAGACTTGTTTGATAACTTGCAAGTGAGTAATCAATTATAGGTGTGGCCAATATGGCAATAACACGAGACACTAAGAATTTGTCAACTGTCTGGAGGATTTTCTAATCTTATATTGTGGTGTCTATTGCTGGGTTTATTAGGTTGCATTAACATGATTGTTGCATCAATGTTAGTATAGGATTTTTTATTCCCTGGTCAAACCAAACACGAAAAACCAGACATTCCTGTCTGGTTAGTTTAGCAATTAAGAGTTTCTCAATGAGTTCCAATAAAATGTAATACATCACAACATTGTTATCATGATACTGTACAATAATAGACCTTTTTATCAATACTGCCATATCGATTATCAAAGTTGCCGTTGATTGTTTTTGATCAGCTCGCTGATTAATTGACAAATCCCTTCAGCTCTTCTTCCAAGTGATTCATTGCAGTCAGCTGTTGTCCCAGCTTTAAAATCAGCCCCTATAATATGTCTTGAAAGAAACCCAACTGTAACTCTGGGTGATGAGGACCAGTTGGGAACTCATACACGCACATGAAAAAAAATGCTAAAAATTAGTTGCAAATGCTACTTGTCCAAAAGCCGGGGGAGCGAAACTGGGTTTCATGCGCACCACTGCTTAAATATAAAGAAATGAATGCATCAATAACACACAAAAAGCAGAATGATCAGTTTTTCAGTGATGTGGCAGCCAAACCACCAGTGGATAAAGTGAGTCCATCTGGAGAGAAACCATGATGGAAAAACTGCATTTTTTCCCTGAAATAATTTAAAGCGCTGCGACCCCTTTCTGAGCCCAGGTGCCTCATTTAGATAACCAAATGAAGAATTCGTCGTTACACACCGCTGAAACAACAGACATGTCGACACAGAAGTGCCCACACATAAAAGCAAACGCAGCTGTCCTCAGAGTGAGACACAGGGTGCCTTTACAGCACCGTGGGCCAGTTGCTGTCCAGAAGTATTTCTTATTGGTTGGCCCTCTCTCTTTCTCTCTGAGTGGGGCTCAGGCTCTAAGTCCTCTCTGTGTGTAATGAGATCTTTATCAGAGGGAAACACGATCAGAGTCGAAAGGGGGGATTCGGGCAGGCAAGAAGAGGGAAGGTGTATATCGCAAGGGGTAGAAGGGGCAAGCAGCAGGGCGCGGGACAGGAAAGAAACAAAAACAGGCCTCTGACCCTCTCAGCAGTGACCCACACTGCAGCGAGCAGCAAAGGGTAGCATTCACTGGACTCCTTGCAAGGAACCAAATCCCATTTCTGGTCTAGTCCTGAAGTTTCGGCCCAGCTCTTGTTTAACAGGTTGCGGCAGTTTCAAGTTTTGTGGTTTCAGTTTGTTTTTTTAACCTCCTACTGAAATCCTTGTTATATTTAAATGTCAGCTTAGTTAAGCTTTTGTGAACACCACTTTGCAGGAGTCAAAGGTTTCTCTGTGTTCAAGAATAAACCTTTAAAACATTTTGCTTTGATAACATCTGTTTCGAAAAACAAAGATAAGGCAGCAGTTTGTTTTTTTCCTAATTACCTTATTGGAAAAACAATTTCTTCCCCCAATTATCTTATCGGAAGAAGCTAATTATGAAAACAAAACTTGAACTTTAATTAGGCCTTCTGTGCACCTATTCTACTAATAGCAGTCAAATAAAATAATGTTGTTTTGAAAACGTATTTAACAATAAACTTGTCACCTCATTATCTAAAAGTACAGTTTTTATTCCTCTTTAAAAAAAAAACATATTTTTCTTTTTTGGTTTTGGAAAAAAACAAACATGTTTGCTGAATATCACTAAACATCACAGTGGTAATCAAATCGAGCTTAATCATCAAACTCACCGAACCCTTAAACCATGCAAGCACGCAATAAACCAAACCAGCCAACCGTTAAACTGTAAGCCAGGCAGCTGAGGTCAATGGGCAGCAAAATAAGATGAGTAAGTAAAGACTCACAGCAGCAGAGGCTTTAGCTGACTTCTATCGACACAAACGCCTCTCTCTCTCTCTCTCTCCCCATTACAATATTTTGAGCTCTTTTGTGGGCTTCAAAAGCATCACAGAGACCAAAAAATGTCTGCAAACTGTTTCCAAGCCTCATCGAAATGCGAGGAGTTCAAAATCGGTGCAGCAGACTCCTGGCCAGCCCGTGGCTGTTTCCTCACTATGTTTTCAGAGGTGTGCAAGTGTGTTTTCCGTCTCTCTCCCATCATCTTGTTTGTCTCCTGTTCTGCTGCAAACAGGCTGTGGTAGCTACAGGTCATGAGGTAAATATTAGCGAAGGAGGGTTAGAGGACGAGCAGGAGCCACTCATAGCAACCTTCTCAGATTATCATTAAATTGGCACTGCTGCAGCATTCCCGAGCACACTGCGAGTGTATGTGTGTACTGTATGTAGTATGCCTGTGCATTGCTGTGCTAGCTTCAGCCAAAGCGATGGGACGTGATCAGTCATAACAAAGTGACATTTTCTGCCGTAATCCCACTCAGCTAAATGAGAACTAATCCGATTTGCTCTGATCAAATGTTAGACAGTTCTTTACCGTCCGGGGACGTTGACACATCCAGCCTTCTTCTGCACGGCTGCACCTCCTCCCAATTCCCCCCTCTCCACCCCTTGCCATTTCACTCATCCAGCCTAAAATTAAATATCAAAAAAAGTTCTGATACATCCCGCAGCAAAACTAAAAACTCGGGGATGTTTCTTCTCCTTCTTCTTTCCAGACAGCGCCACAGTGATGATGTATGTTGCCTGTTCAAGCACGCTGGGAAGAAATCAATTAAGCAAACCCCAGTTATTGATAAAGCAGGAGTGGGAGTGATAGCATCCTCACATGGAAATCCATAACAGCAGGAACGCTCAGAGGGACCCGCACATAAGCCTGCACAACCATACACATTAAGAATAGAAACACATACACACACACACACAAACATAGTGGCCCAAACCTGCTGGTTTCCTATACTTTGTATCATAACTCATGGCCTGTAGGGAAGCACTGGTATTGTTATATTTTGTGTGTATGTGGTACAGTGTGCAAGCAGAGGGCCAGATTAATTTATTAGCTGAGGCAGCAGTGCTCCCCAAAGTGGGAACAGGAAGTAAGACATCGTAAATCTAGATAAGTCACCAGATAGTGTACTGTACATTTCTATAGGCCTCTCACTCTGTTATCACTATGGAGTAATATAGGCCAAGACAGAGAGATGGAGTTTAAAACAACAAACGGAGAAGACAGATGCTGATTGCTGTACAAGTATTCCTTTTTTATTGCCTATCAGACGGCGCTGCTGACTGATACATTTCAGAAGAAAAACAGGTTTGTCTTTTGTTATTGCAAAGCCTGCACACAGCAAGATAATTGTCTATTGTTTTCTAAGCACAGAGGAGCTGGATAATTAGGTTGAGAGAACACTTTGCAGAGTGCATTATTGTTCCACTGTGAACTTTATGAAATATTCAGCCAGCATGGGGATTTTACAAGGAGCAGAGTGGAGAAACAGATGGAGAAGTGATCTTCCAATCCCTAAACCAGCGTGGTAACCTTCTAAGACATTCCCTCCAGGTGACATCATCAATCAATAAATGTCTTCCTTCCCCCCTTTTTTTTTCATTTGTCTCCCCATGACTGCAAATGTTATATATGTGTGTATGATATCTCAATCTGATGACGCTCATTGTTCCACTACCTCTGCAGCCATAGTCAAATAAAAGCTGATGGGCCGTAGTCTTACCATTAGGACCAGGCCACACACACACACACACACACACACACACACACACATAGCTACACACACTCCAATGAACATGGCAGCAATATTCATACTCGCTGACTGCACAACGAGCTCCTATGACATCTGACATTTGGGGTATAAATCATGGATTCACTTGAATGAGTAAGTTCTAGTTATAAGCTGGTCGAGCTACTCTCCATTTCCCCTTGGTGCTGTGAGCTCAAATGAAGGTCAGCTCCTCAGCTCTAACCATAGAGAAATACAGGAGAGGGATTTTTTTTTTCTTTTTCGTTTTTTAAGTTTATTTTCCCCTTATGTATGCTTTCCAACATCATGCAAATGTGGGAGTCAAGTATAAGTGGGTGATAATTGTTACCAGAGCGTATTTTATTATCAGCAGTCTGGGCTCACTCTGCTTGTTTTGATGGGGAATAATAAGAAATTTTTTTGAAAAATGTCTGGCTTCAACTGCCTGCTTTTGAGAAACTTGCCCTGGATTCGATGGGGAGAAATTAGGCTGGATCCAAGCCAGGACAATTAAAGAAATTTAATTCATTTCAAGCGTTTGTTCCTCTGAAAGCTGAAACCGTTTTATCACACATTTTTTTGTGGGCAAACTGAATTCAAACAGTGGAGAGTTGGGACGCAGTGTGGCCCTCTCAGAAGCCAAGCAGCCCATGTCCAGGGCTGCTGGGAGGGCTGAGAGGACAAATATCCTCCACAACTGGGCTACACCTTGACACACTTGGCATGCTTTCCTTCACTTTTCTCTTCCATTCTCTACTCAGCTAATTACACAAATTACAAGAAATTGTAGGGAAGTGGACAAACTCGGAGATAGTATGAACTGAAGAGTCCGAGCAGACTTTGCCCTCAGTCTAGTAATAAAAAGGTGCGTGTAATATTGTCATAAATTACTATAATTACCCCCCATTATTGTGTTTTAAGTGAGGCCTACTGTGTATTGTATATGCTCGGCACCTACCTACTGTGTTTCTTTGGTGTTGGGAAATTCCCCACTGAGAAATAAATCAACACAAACTCTGCGGCGTAGGAATGACAATTAAAAAAACTAAATTTGTGTTCTTTTTCACATAATTGCTACATTTAACAGAACATTTAACCCAGCTTGCACACAATAGCAACTTTTCCAGTAATGTCAGTCCTCCATTACGCACACACCCAGTGAGTTTGCTATGCTTGTACAAATGAAATACGAGACTTACTTGGAATTCTGCGAGCTCCAAATTATAGTCTCCAGCGATTTTGCTGAAGGTAACGCCGACCTGCACATTAAAATAAAGATCCAGAGATAATACTTCCAACAACCGAGTCCCGCCATTCTGATAAACGTACAGACAGTGAGCCGATAACTCAGAGCGTCGGACAGTGCGCCTGGCAGCCTTTATCTGTGGTTCGCCCGGTGGGAAGGTGAGCTACGATCAGTCGGGAGCATGTGAGGTCGATATCAGATACATGTCCTTCTGTCCGACTTCTTTAAATCTGCTCCAGGCCCCTGTGTCCTTGGCTGAACTGTCCGCAGGACGTGCGAAGAAGCCTCCCGGTTTCTTGATAGGATCTGGAAGGAGAGCAGCCCCCCGAGTGTCCTGGTTGACCTGTGGCTGAGACAAAAAAACAGCCCTTCGCGACCTTATTACTCAGTGGTGAGAACTCAACTCAGCGATCTCATGTGCGGTGAAACAGATCTAACCAATCGCACAGTTTTTTCTGGAGACACAATTGTTTGGCGATGCGGCTGCCGATGAAGCGCTGCGCCGTGTCTTTGTCAAAGCTCCCCCGATGGTGTATGTACCTGTCGCTGTATATAGCCTACAGATGACCACATTCATCCATCAGTCACAACTCCGCAGCACGCCGGGAATCCCGAGGTCCACTTCATTCCAGTGTTATCTTTCACTCCTCCTCCTCCTCCTCTCTGCTATTCTTCTTCGCAAAGGAATTGAGTTTCTATTGTAAATATCCCTCCCGGCTCTCAGCGCCGTTCCGCGTGCGTGTTGCGCTCCAGCAGGGGTTAGCCTCTAGTCCAACTCGGGCATGCTGCGTGGGGCCAGTGCGTAAATATACTGTACGTCTCCCCGTTTGTTTGTCGCTGCTCGGACACAAAAAAGTGCCGTGGGAAGATCAGACTTGCTCGCCAGTCCGCTCGGTGGCTCTGAATCCGCTTGCCAACGTTTCCATGCCGGTATAGTGTTATTTTAACCGTGCACAACACTCTGCGCTCCGGTGAGTGCAGCAGCTCGAGCTCAACTGTAACCCGAGCCGAGGAGAGCGCACGGGGAACAGCCCACAGTGCGAGCCGCGGCCAATCACAGCGCTCTGTCCGAACTTGGAAGCAGGAAGCAAAGGCATTTATGGGGACGTGGAGGGGTGGATGGTGGGTAGAGGGAGGCGGGGGCTGGGAGTCTGTTATTGGGTTGACCCCACATCTCCACCTCCTCCACCCCGGCCTGAGCCATCGACCCAAATTGAAATGGACTTTGAAGTTATTCGTCATACTGAAAGCTTTGGTGAGGAAAACGAGCGTGATAGGCTATTGGAGCGTGCGTAAAAGTGCTTACAGGGGAAAAAGTTTGGCCCCTTTAAATCCAGGACCTGCTTGCCCCTGTAGACCCAGCACTGAATAGTTAAGCCATAACATTCCTATAATAAAGGCCTATCAAAATCTGCCCACGGGGAATTATAACTATGCCTGTGGTAGGTAGGATAAGTGAATTTGTAATATTTTCTCTTTGAAACTAGGCTATAATTTCTGTGTAATACTATTATGAAGTCACCTAATTTATATATTGTATAATTTTGCAAAAATCCTTAGAATGCACTGTATAGGATTACAGTATGTGTTATTTTGGTCCGTTCTTTTTTTTTTCCTCTTTGAAAGGAATGATGATTAATGGTCTCTTTGGATCTCTTTCTAGTTGTCCCCTTTTGGGATAATGAACTGCATGAGAACTTAGTCTCCAGTGTCAATAGACAATAGACGGTCGGTAGCCTATAGTCATTGGGCCATTCATTCATTGAGGAAGAAATGCTTGACACATAATTGATCATGTCCATGTCTGTGCCCCCTTTGTGTGCGTATGCATGTGTGTGTGTGTGTGTGTGTGTGTGTGTGTGTGTGTGTGGAGAGAGAGAGAGAGAGGAGAGAGAGAGAGAGAGAGAGAGAGAGAGAGAGTAGGAGAGTTTCTCTTAATTTTGCAGCATTTATTCAATCAATGCCGCCCCCTAATGGTTGGGATGAAATCGATTCACAGAATACAGGAGGGGGATTCAGTATAATTGGAAAGGAACAATGACAGACAGAAACTTACAGACATGGCTTGTGGTTCCTGACAGTTTTTTTTTATTACACCCTGTTGTGACTTGACAGCCCATAAATCCTTGTAAAAGATCAACATCAGCACCACACCCAAATGATTATGCTTTGTAATTATGTGTATTTATATTTAGTGCATTGTACATGTTTCATATGTGTGTGTGAGCCCAGTGATAACAGGGGTCACAGAAGTTGGAGTGCCATGGCTGTATCAGAGTAGGGATTTCTGGCACCAAGTCACCTACTTCCAAGGTGTATGGGCAAGGGAAAAAGCTTGTGAAGTTGTTTTCATACAACAAGCGTTGCTGGAGTTTTGCCATGGCTGCATCTTCATGAGCCTGCCTATAGACCGCCAGAGTGTTGTCATAGTGACAGCAAACACAGGCCAGTTGCCACAAAGCTGGCATGTCCCGTCTGATGGCCAGGATGTCTGGGCTACCTGATACCTCAATGGCCAATCAGATGGCCACAGATAGATACCTGATCTTCTGTGAGCCAATGAGACAACAGACGATGATGGTGGTGGACATACCGAGCTGTTGTTGTGAGAGTGGCGTCAAACCACAGCTTGGAATCAGCAGAATCAAAAACACTTCATAGAGATTTGCCTTCAGAAGCAATCAAAACTAATCTTTTACAACACAACACATGGCAGAAGAAAACTGATGTCATCATATAGTACAAGAGGATTATAGAGGATATGTAACAGATATTGGACTGTACACATTATTCAACATAAACACAAGAGCTTTATGTAACATGACATAAAGTGTAGTACACTGTTGTCAGGACAAAGGAGTTCATGTTCAGTCAGACACACCATGAAAGGCAATTTGATTTTTTTCCCCCTTGGACAGCCACCTATGAAATTGTGGCGTTCTCCAGGAATGAGGTCATCGTGTTAATGTGTATAGGTGGCTGTGATTAGTACTTCTATAAATAGCCTGAATGTACTTTGATACCACGGACGCTCATATGCCGACGCTCTTCAGACCCTTTAAAATGGCTGGCAGGGCTGCAACTACAGATTATTTTCCCCACTGATCATTGTTTTTTGGTTAATTGATTCATTATTCACTATATAGATTATACAAATTCCATGGCAATCCATCCAATAGTTGTTGAGACATTTCACTTGAAACCACAAATGTCAACCTGATTGTGGCACTAGAGCAAAAGTCACCGATTCACCATAGTAAGGACTCATTCTCAGGGAACCATGAATGTCTGTACAAACTTTAATGGCAATCCATCCAACAGTTGAGATCATTGAGTCTGGAAAATGGTGGACCAACAGACTGACATGTCTCTAACATGGCTAAAAAGATTCAGTTTATGATGACATAAAACAGAGAGAAGCAGGAAATCAAGCAGTTTTGCTAGATGAATGACTAAAAAGATGAATCAATTATCAAAACAGTTACAGAGTAATATTCCGTTCACCGTCTGATTTATTTCAGCTCTAAAATGAAGAAAAGTTAGAGAGAGGAAAACAAAAGAGAAAGAGAATGACTAACTTTTCTTCAAGACACCAAGATGAACCCTGTTCCCGAGGACAAAGTTCCTTCCCAATCTGATATTTACACTTAGCAAACACTGAAACCATGACATCATCATTCCGGGATGAAGCCACTGCGGGCCTGTAGTCAGCCCAGCAACCTCACAGTGAAAATAAATCACAGTTAAAGTGGCCTCCTCTTGCTTTTAATCTGCCCTTAATGAAGTCTGGCACATTTCCCTCTAGTGTGGCTCGATGACACAGCCCTGATCTATGGGCCAGGCCGGAGACCAGAGGGCTGCGGCCTCGGCGGAGCTGAGGGAGACGTGGCTCCAGCCGGGGCTGCGGATCCACAGGTTTGAGCAGAACCCACTTTGGCATGCACGGGGTCAAGTGGTTAACCCTCGTTATCTAGAGAGGACGAGCAACATGTGACTCGGACGTTCCAGCTGTAATCAATATCGAGCAGCCATTAACCACTGAGACAACACATACACACACACACACACACACACACACACACACACACACACAAGCACTTAGCAGCATGTTTCCCGTCCGTCTCACGCACAGTAAAGTGTTCACCAAAGGAAACCCAAGGGCATAAACGCAAACAACATGGACTCACTCCAAACACTGAGCCAACTGAAACAGTGGGAAAACTCTGTTAATGTAAACTAACTATTTTCGGAGGCTGACACTTGAAAGTTGTTGTATGAGCCATTCATGCTGCTTTGATTTAACTGTAACAGCAGTGAGGGCCAAACACAACAGCTGGGGCATCCGCAGACTTACATTTCCTGTTTGTGGTACGCTTGATTGCTGTCCAGACGTCTTCCTCCCCTCACTCTTTTCCTTCTCTTGCTTCACTTCTTCTCCTCTCCTTTACTCATCTCTGCTGCCATGACTGACAGGAAAGCACTGATTACAGACAAATAACAATCTGCGCTAAACATGTCCTCCTCAATTTAACATCCCAGCAGGAGATGTGAGCAAAACCTCTTCTCTTCTCTTCTCATATCAGTAATTAGGTCTAATAACAAGCCGAGACAATAGTCGTTTCGTGTAACCATCTTTGTCTACATATAAACATCTTGGAATCTTGATAAGAATCCTGATTAGTAGCTGGTTGTGATCCTCCTATCTTAACTCTCCACAGTTCCATGCATTATACCTTTTTAGCCTCTCAGATGAGATTAGAATTTGAAAAGAGAAATTGTTCTTTGATGCTTAATATCAAAGAACTCGACGCTTAACAATTCCAGATGAAAAAGCCTGTAGAAAGTTAGAACATGCAAGCCACACACACACACACACACACACACACACACACACACACACACACACACACGTTATTAACTCACTGTGATTATTTGTTAGCGTAAACTGGATTTTGTAGGCCCGTGGCCCAGAGGGTTTAGAGAAGAGCTAAATTGATGGAGAGAATATGCCAAATGCTGGCCTGGGGGGGGATGTTCTGTCCATTCTAATAGAATTACAAGCTTCTGATAGATGAGTCTTTTCTCCAAGGCTACTTGTCTGTCAAACATTAGGTCACACTCAGCTTCCAGACTGGGGGGGGGGGGGTGGCAGCACCGAGAGAAGAGGGGGATAGAAAGGGGCTCAAGGCATAGAGAAGAAAACGTCTGAAGAGGTGCCTCACTCCCTGCCAAGAAAAGGAGGGCAACAAAAGTGAAAAAGGGTTAGGGGAGAGAGGGAAAAATGAGAGAAAGAGAGAGGGTGGGAGCTGGTGAAAGAGAGTGAAATGAGTGAGGGTGGGGGTTAAAGAAAGAGGAGAGAGTGAGAAGGGTACAAAAGGGTGCATTCGAATCCACTCTAATTAAGGCCTGTGTGATGGACAGGACCTGTGGACGTGCCTTCTTTTCTTTTTGAGTGTGTGAGAGTGTGTGTGTGTGTGTGTGTGTGTGTGTGTGTGTGTGTGTGTGTGTGTGTTGTGTATGAGGGGACGGTGTGAAGATGGGAGGGGCCAGGCCTCTAGTAGAGATGTCTACTGCCAGCAGCCTGAATAGGACAAAGACCTGAATAGAAACTTCAAAGCGACCTCTGTGAGCTCACCCCCCCTCTTCTTCACAGTCCCTTGGCTGTGTGATGGTCAACAAGCTCCTGCTCAAGTGGTGTGTGTGTGTGTGTGTGTGTGTGTGTGTGTGTGTGTGTGTGTGAGTGTACTCACGGCATGTGTGATTCTGTTTTCCAGTCTGTTATTTTGTGACTGCTACATGCATTTCTTGGCAGCTATGCGTGCAGTGTGGATTTCAAAGTGTGTCTTTCTGCCTGTGTGTGTTTTTGTCTAATGTGAGGATTTGTGTGTGTGTGTGTGTGTGTGTGTGTGTTTGCTTTAAAAGAGCAGACTGCAGGATGCAGATATAATTGGAGCAGGGGATCTGACTCATTGCTCTCACTCTCTGAACTGAGCGCTGGCTCTCTTTGGCGGGATTGGAATTGAAACAAGTA